CGGGCTGCAGTATGTACTGCTCCCCAGGGATACTGAATGGGGGCCGCCGTCAAACCGGAATGTGTGCGCCACTGCTGGGGGCGACACGCTAAAGTTTCGTCAACATCTTCCCCCGCTGCTGTTGTGGAAGAGCTGGTGCCTCCGGTGCTTCCCACTCGACCACCCCATCGTGAGCATGGACGAACCTGACCTCATTTGCTTCTGGTTGCACGAGCCCCCTGTGGACGGCTATTGGGACTATAGAGACCGGTCGGTAGATCTGCTAATGGTCAACAGGAGAAGCCACACAATACATTCTGTCTCACGCTACGAAGATGGGTTGTCACACTGGGGAGATGGTCTAATCGCCAGCAAACGTATCGTATTTCTTCAATTCTTATCTAAGAAGTGGTAGTGATCCTACATTCACAGGACAAAGAGACATTGCGAGGCCACCGCCAATCATATTATTGATGAGCAGCTAAAAAGAGATGACGATGCTAGCAATACAACAACGCTGTTACCTTCTTCGTTCGCTGAGCCTTCTGTGCAAGCATCAGAGATCTTTGAGGCATTTCAAGAGATAACTAGCTATGGATTGGATCAGGACGAGATAAAAGTGTATAGAATTCTTAGCCGTGACAACTGCCGCGGGTTTAAATCTCTTTTAAGGTTACCGAAGAATCTGAGGAAGGATTGGTTATTGATGGAGATTAAGGCTAGCGAAGATTGATCCATCAGCACTTTGTCTCTTAATTTATCCCCAAAGATTGTTCATATGATCCGACAAGTTATGTGTGAAGTACATGAAGGACTGCTTTTTTCTCAAAATCAACATGGAATAGCTGTGTTTTCTGTGATTTATTTTCGTGCTAGCACAGTGCTTTGTGATGTTTATTTTAGAATGTGCTCATTTAATTGAAGTGTTTGTCGAACACTACGTAACATTGTATATAGCATATGTATCGGCAAATATACAGCTTATAATTAAGTTGCAACACAATGCCTGTTACTTCTCCTTCCCACTTGATATATATCGACAATACGTTCTTTTTGGAAAGTTTCAGTTTTCACTTCAGGTCCAATACAAGTTCTTTTAATAATGGAATAAGGTTCCAGCTTCTACTTTCTGTGGTGAAAGTACAGAGCTGTTCAATACAAAACCAAGAACATAGGCTCCAACTCCACAAGAGTTCAAACTGCAAATAAACAAAAGGAGAAGAAAGAAGCTACACTTCAATTCTATTCCTAAATTTCCAACCGCACTTCGCAAAAATCTCCATGATTACTGTCTCCAACAATCTGCATCTATTATTGAGGTTTGATCTCTCCTCTTCTTTATGTAGTAGGAACCATTGTCAAATCCATTATGTTGCCCTGAAGATAACCTGCAGAAATGTATTACATTTAGAACTATTGAATACCATATTCAACCAAATTGGGCAACATAAAGCAACAGCTCCTACAATCGATTTCCATGTTTCGGCTGAATGGCATTCAAACCAAGAATCAAAACATGTTCGCAAAGCTAGAAGGGGGCTGAATTCTAATGGTGATATAAATAGTATTCCAAATAAATCTTACAAAGTGACAATCAAAGAAAAGATGTTGTATCATCTCCATAGAGCTACAAAAACAACAATTGGTGCTACCTTGCCAATACCTGTTGCTAGATTATATCCTTTGTGAGTGTAACCCCCATTTGAATGTACCAAAGGGAGGTCTTAATCTTCAGAGGTATCTTAATGTTCCATAGATCGAGGGTTCTTTTGGGGTACTACCCCTTCTTGTATCACATACATATAAAAAGATCGAATAGCTAGTAAAAGTACCCTTGTTAAACAAATCCCAAATAAAAGAGTCATCTCCACTTGTAAGGTTTACTGAAACTATTTTGGTCACCAAATCAAGCCAATCATCTTGATTCGAGCCAACCAATATCTTTCCTACTCCCTCCGTCCTGAAATAAAGTGCATTATGACTTCTAAAATTTGTATTGAAATACAATGCATTCTACGTAATGACTATGTTTAGATTTGGCAAGGTTTGTTAAAAAGGAAGCCATGATTTGAGGAGAAACTCTATAATTGGAATAATCTATGGTTACATACGTCATTTGAGTGTTCCCTTAAGTTGTCTTAGAATTTTTGGAACGCGGACAGAGGGAGTACCAATATATCGGTAATACATTGTTTTTGGATAGTCTCAGTTTTCATACAGGTCCAATATTAGTGATTAGAAAATTTTCTGCCAAGTACATGATATCTGACTCAGCTAATATGCTTGAAGCTCAATATCTTTTGTTGTTTCTGTTGCCTATGTATGCCGAATGCCAGTCCACATCAAATTAGTCCTTAACATGTTAGTTGTCTCGCTATATAAAGTTATATATGCAGGAACTATATGAAAAACAAGTAATAATATCTTTTTTGTTGGGCTATTTGTGTGGTCATCTGCTGGGTCTGTACCTAGTTTGTACTCCAGAAGCCATGCTCATAGGATTTGGTAGCAGTAGCTAGGCGGCAATGGAGGAGGAGGCCACGGACATTTTTTTTGCCACAAGAGTGGTCTAGCCTACAGGTTGATAGTGTGTGTATTCTACACTTTCACTTCAAGTGTGCAACTGATGGGGCAGCGATCTTGACTCTGTATGCATATATATGGAAGTGCGTCTTTCATGATATATATATATATATATATATATATATATATATTGCTGAATTACATGAGAATTTGTAGCAGACTTTGTATTTTAAATATATGTTTCATTTTCAATCAACGCACATTTCTAAAGTTCTGACAAACATAAAAAACTGTAATAATACGAGTATATATTTTACTAGCTGTCTGCAATAAATAACCTCAATCGAAAAAGTTTGTGAGCCTGCGACGTCGCGCTCTCCATGACTGTGTTAATTTCACGAACTTTGCTTTTTGAATTAAATGTCACTTTGACGTCGGTATTTAATTTAACAGTATTGTTATCTTAAAAGTCTATACAACGCGATGGCTGCAGTACCATGGAACTATGCTTCCACCACTCCGTAAAAAACGATTTTTAGCAACGGAGAGTGGTTAGAGGGGAAAAATACGAGGACACAGCTCACATGTTTGAATCCCTCCGGTGCACTGTACCCACGCGTATTTTCGCAAGACAAATCTCATGACTAGCGATACTTGCATTGGAGGAGGCGGGTGGGCTTTATTGGATATGATTTATGGAGGTGGGCATCTCAAGGTGCCCGCCTCCGTTAATATATTTTTAATAATTTTAAAATTAAATATGTACTTTGGATAATTGCAATATAGTTTCAAATAATATATATTATCTAAATGTATTGTTACATTCTCACAATTAGATAAATCTCGCATAAACTCATTATTTTTCAAAACCTTTTTACATAAATATCACATAACTTATTATTTATCAAACACCTCTTGCACAAATATCGCATAACTTATTACTTTCCAAACACTTATTTACACAGATAATCTCACATAAATCAAACACTTTTGCATAAATCAAACACTTAGGGGCAATTGATTCAAATATGAACTAGAGTATCTCATGGGACCATTATAATGTATTACAAAGCTGGATTCATTACCCATGGAAACATTTCACAGATCTTATTGTGTTTCCTCCATCCTTACGAACCCACAACATCATTTTGATCCTGTTGAAGCAGGCTTCGACAAGCTTGATCTTTTGTGTTTAATCGGTAAAGATCGAGCATGAGCCTTTATTGTGGTTATTGTAGTCTTCAGGACCTTTCACGCTATCAACTCTCCCCCGACTCTCTACTTTCTAGAAACAATTATGTGCCCCTTGACATTCCCGAACATGCTATAGTAACATACTAGTGCAACACGGCGTAGTAGTACTTGTGCAACCAGGAATGTAGAGTAAATTAATTTCTTTTTAAATTCAATCAACTTCAAAAAATACAATACAAAGTATAATTCATAGATAATCAATTATACTTATTCTACATCATAAACATATTATTTTTAGAATCAATCAAATTGAAAAATTGTTTGAGGGACTGTTTGGAACAAAGGTTCATAGGAAAAATGAAGGAAACAAAAACGGAGGAAAGGAAGACGAGGAGACCGTTCCAAACGAAGGAAACGAGCGGAACCTTTCCTCCGGAAGCCTGTAGCAACAGCACGGTTTCATAGGAAAAAAACATCCGCTCTCACCTCTGGTTTCGTCTTCCTTCACGCTTGCCCGAGGAAAATCAAATGAGAAGAGAGAATCGAGAAGCTAATCACCATAAAAACTGGACGCAGCGCCGCCAAATCCGCCCAGCCTCCTTTGTCCGGCCACCGCGCCACTGCTCTGCCCCGCCCCGCTCATGGCCTCGCTCGCCTCTGCCATCACAGCTCCGCTCCAAGTTGCGCCGCGCTGCCCAGACTGCCCGCGCCCGGCCAGTCGGCCACCGCACCGCCATCGCTCCCTCCAGACCACGCCGCCGGTGCCTGCTTTCTTTTATTTTTATATAAAGCCGTGCTTGCTTTCCGGGAGAGGATTACAGATTTACAGGAGAGAGAAGTGCGTGGAAAAAGATGTTGTCCAGATATTTATTTGACCCCAACTGTAGCAACATGGTCTAGTGGCCACATGTAAGAGGGTCATGGAAAAAATATGCAACTAACACAGTGTATATCATCATTTCATTAAGCACTAATAATGACTCTATAGCATTCACAGTCTAATGATTCATGTGCTATGGATTCCTGCGTTCCAAATTTCCTCACTACACATTCAACCTATTCATGTGTTTTTTCTTATTCCTGTGTTTTCAATTCTTGTGTTCCAACCTGACTTCTTGTTTTTGCCATAAGAGAACAAGTACAAATCGGTTACAAATTAAGTTTGCGTTTGCAATACACGGAAAAACAGACCCACCGTTACTTATTATATATTATGTGTATGTATAGCCTACCGCAGGATTGACGCATCGATCCTCCCCTACCATACGGTCAGAATAGCTAGGGCACACAACTGTTCAGCGGTGATGACGGCGGCGGCGACCATGGAAGCACAAACGGCGCAAACTCCCTCCGATCCGTCCTCCACCACCTTCCCGCGGTGGGTGATGCTCGAACAGTACTTGAAGATCGAGGCCGAGGGCTCCTTTTGCTCCACATCCGGCGACGCCAGCAAGACATTGGCGGCCGCCCGCACAAGCACCGGTCTCCCGATCCAAGTGTCCCTCCGCCTCGCAGAGCCCCCAGCAGTTTCGTGCGTCTGCCTCCAGATTCCTGACGGCCTTCATGCAAAGGATTCTGAGGTCCTCGCGGCGCACGGCGACTCCGTGCTCATCGAGGTTTCCATCGAAGAAAAGCATGACTACACGACAGACTACTTCGTCTACAATGCGTGCGCCGCCGCTGCGGAGCCCCCGCGGCTGCCGTCGCTGTCTTTGCTCCCGCCTTTCCATCTCGGTTATCATGGCACCGGCCTCGTGCGCCGTGGCGAGGACGAGCTCGTCCTGGCGCGGCTCCTGACGGTGTCGTCGGCGAGATCGGAACCGGCCACGCCGGAGCTGATGAGGGTGGCCGACCTCTCCTTGTTCCGTGCTGGTGAGTGGAGCGTCAGGCGTCTGCAGATCAGGTTTCGCGACACCAGTGAATTTCGGGAACTTCCTACGTTCTGGAACGCCACCGTCCCTGTCGGCGACGGGCTACTCTGCTGGGTCGACCTACGGTGCCTGGGCATTGTGCTCTGCGACGTGTTCGAGGAGACACCGAGGCTGCAGTATCTACCACTCCCCAGGGATAACATATGGGGGCGGCCATCAAACCGCAACGTGTGCGTCACTGCTGGGGGCAACACGCTCAAGTTCGTCAACATCTTTCCTCGTTGCTGCTGTGGCGGCGCTGGTGCCACCCGCTGCAAACTTTCTCGCCACGCCTACACCATCCACACCTGGACGATGAGGATCGGCAATGGCGACGACATGGAGTGGGTGAAGGATGGCATGGTTGATGCCACCGAGCTCTGGGCGCTCGACTCCTACAAGGGCCTCCGGATCTTCCCACTTGACCACCCCGTCGTGAGCATGGACGACCCTGACCTCATCTGCTTCTGGTTGCACGAGCTCCCAGTTGATGGCTATTGGGATTACAGAGACCGGTCCGTAGATCTGCTAATGGTCAACACGAGAAGCAAAACAATACATTCAGTCTCACGCTATGAAGATGGGTTGTTATGCATGCGAGATGATCATCTGATCCCCAGCAACGTATCGTATTTCTTCAATTCTTGTCCTAGTAGTGGTGGTGATGGTACATTGATAGGACAAAGGCAGAAGTGCATTGAGAGGCAACCGCCAGCCATCGTTGATGATGACGAGCAGCTAATGAGAATTAAGAGGCGACGTGCAAGCATCACTACCAATCCAACGTTGCAACCTGCTTCGATCGCTGAGCCTTCTGTGCAAGCATCAGAAATCTCCGAGGCATTTCAAGAGATACCTAGCTATGGATTGGATCATGATGAGATAATAAAAGCATATAGTATTCTTAGCCGTGACAACTGCCGCGAGATCAGATCTTTTATAAGGTTACCAAAGAATGAGAGGAAGGAGTGGTTGTTGATGGAGATTAAGGCCAATGAAGAATGATCCCTCAACACTTTGTTTCTTAATTTTTCCCCAAAACAATGTTCCTAAGGTCGGACAAGATGTGTGTGAAGCACAGGGAGCTACTGCATTTTGTCTCAAAATCAACTAGGAATAGCTGTGTTAACTGTGATTTATTTTCGTTCTAGCACAATGCTGTCTGATGTTCATTTTGGATTGTGCTCATTTATCACTTGAAGTGTTTGTCGGACACTACCTAACACTTTATAGTAAAATCTATGTCTGCGGGAGGATTGGCGCTCACTGAGGCCATTTGCTAGTGGCCTTTCGAAGCATGGCTCCGCGTTAGTGTCCTCCTGCTCCATCTGCTCTTTACGCATGGGTTTCGCATTGGCTGTATCTTGCATTTTTGTTAGGCTAAGCCTTGCTGTAGCGGTGTGTTTTTGTTAAGCCTAGCGGTCCACCAGCAGGGTCAGCTCCAGCATGTCTTCTTCCGCACGGTTTGCCTCCCAGCTTCACGCTCCCTTCGTCATGTTTTTCTCCGCGCCTCTGCTCCGCTTCCTATTTCTTGAGCGGTAGCCTCCCTCGATTTCCATCTTTGCATCGTCGATTGCTGCTGTGGCTAGCCTCTTCAGGTTGTCTGGGTTTGGATTTCTGTGGCTCGATTTCTGTTGCATCGTCGATTGCTGTGGCTCGATTTCTTGAGCGGTAACCATCATGTTGTAGAACGCATGTAGAGATGTCCTGGTTTTTAATCATCGTATGTGACAACGTGCACGAAATCTTCTGAAACTTTTATCATAGCCTCCACATATAATATCACGACATCTCAACAAGTTTCATGATTTTCGGACTTCGTTTGCTTTTTATAGAATTTAAAAACACTTCACACGCAATTTCGCGGACATGTTTCGTGAACAAGATGTCCGAAATTTCGGATCCGTTCCTGGATACGGCCTCTCACAACACTCACTAACATGACTATCAATTTTTGAATCATTAAACTCCATTATTCGTACCACGTGCAGTTCAAATTTCTATTTTTCGGAAAATTCAAGTAAGCGAAATAAAGTAACTAAATATATCAAAAAGTCACAAAAAATCCCCAAATTATAACTAGGAGTTCCTGGTGCTTTAAAAGGACTGCACAAAAAAATTGAAGGTCAAAAACAAAAAAACAAAAAAAAACTTTGCCAAGTGCCGGGGCATGGCACTCGGCAAAGGGTGTCTTTGCCGAGTGCCAGGCATAAGGCACTCGGCAAAGAGTGTTTTAAATTTTTTTAAAAAAATTCCTCTTTTCCGAGTGCATCCATAGGAGCACTCGGCAAAGAAATTATAAAAAAAAATTAAATCTTTGCCGAGTGCCGTGCCAGGGGCACTTGGCAAAGTATTTTTAAAAAAAAAAATTATTTGCCGAGTGCCAGATCAGGGAGGCACTCGGCAAATAATTTTTTTAAAAAAAATTAAATTTTTGCCGAGTGCCAGATCTGGGGCACTCGGCAAAGAATTTTAAAAAAAATTCAAATCTTTGCCAAGTGCCTCCCTGATCCGGCACTCTCGGCAAAGAAGTCGCTGGACTCGGGCATTTTGGGTCGGCCAGGCGATCAGAGCCGACCAACCCAGCATACGCCGCCACCCCCGCCTCCACGCCGCGCCCTCAGCCGTCAAATCCCTTCTCGCCCGCAGTCCCCATTGCGCCACCATCGCCGCCGCCACCACTGCTCACACCCTGGTTCGTGCCCCGGTCTGCCACGCCCCACGCGTTGCCATGCTGCCCTGCCCTACATTGGGCGCGTCATTGACACGCCGCGCCTGCCTGCCCGCCGCCCACGCGACGCTACTGCCACGATCACAGCCGTGCCCCGGTGACCCTTTCCCGACAGCGCACATACGACCCGACCGGACCTGCGCCCGACGCGCCTTTTCTCGGCAGCGCCTTGCCCCTTGGCCTGCCCGGCCGTGCCCCGTGGACCGCCCGCCCTGACGCTATCTGTGTTCGACCCTGTCCCCGACTCCGGCGACCCCGACTCCGCCCGATCTCGACGTCGCCCGCCCCTACCCCGGCGCCCGTCAGGTATGCATTCTCTCTTATTGTTGTCGAGGTAGTGGTAGTTGTAGTAGTATTAGTTGTACTAGTGGTAGTAGTAGTACAACTAGTGGTAGTATTAGTAGTAGAATTAGTGGTAGTAGTAGTAGAAGTAGTGGTAGTAGTAGTAGTACAACTAATGGTTGTAGTTGTAGCAATAGTGGTAGTAGTAGAACCAATGGTAGTAGTAGTAGCAATAGTGGAAGTAGTAGTACAAGTAGTGGTAATACTTGGATATATTCTTCTGCATGGATTGATATCCAAACTACATGGCTTCTCTTGAGACATATGTGCTTGTCGGCCATCGTGCCGTTGTTTTTTGCAGGTTTTGGAAACCTCACCGTGCAGGGGAGGTTCTGCCGAAATTTTTTGTAAATGACAGTATTTTGTTCCATTTTTGTAGAGAAGAGGCCGTCGGAGTTGAGTCGGAGTTCTCGCCACCGTGCCGGTCTGCCTGCACCGCGTCATCTCGCCACTGCACCGACCCACCACGGCCCCGCTAGCCTGACTCCGCCGCCACCCTAGGTATAACCCCTCTTTTCGTATCATGGTCGTAGATCGCGTAACCCAGCTAGGCGTCTCCTGTTCGAAAGAGATACGGTTGGAGGTATGCAGATCTTTGCATATCTATGACCGTATCTATTTTGGATTGTCCACCCTTTTTGGACAGCCCGCGGATGCGTAGATGGGTTAGTTCCCATGTTCTGCTCTGGTCCGATACAGAGTTTCGGCATCACCTCCCTGTTGTTCTCCGGATACGCACTCTTCTTTGGCAGGACGTGTATCTTGAGAACAGCGGGGAGGTGCTTCCGAAATTCTGTCTCGGATAGGAGTAGAGCATGGAAACTAACTTTATCTACGCATCTGTGGGTGGGATTAGGACCTATCCTCACCTATTAGACAGTAGGAACACCATGTAGATGCAATTGATGGTTACAATACTCGCTGATACATATGTTAGAGGATGGATGACCGTCAGTGCAAGTACACGGGCTGGAGAAGTCAGAGTGATTACACCATGGAATGGATGAACAAGACCGATGCTTTCTTGAACAGTGCATTTGGCAACTCTGGTAAAGGACATTGCCTAGTTTTGTGTCCCTGCAGCAAATGTGGAAATAGGAGAAGGATAAACAAGGTGGAAATGGGTAAACATCTTGTGAAGAATGGATTTACGCCGGACTACACCCGGTGGGTCCACCATGGTGAAGCCCATCGTATGAGAGAGGAGGTGGTGAGACCACGGGTGGAGGCTTTTGATGCTGATGCCGGGGTAGTAGACATGTTAGATGACTTTCACCGAGGATAGTTCCATGAGGGACGTGAGAAGGAGGAGATGGAGGCAGCCGCACAGGCGTTCTACAACATGATGGACTCGGCACAGAAACCCCTTCACGATCGGTCAACGGTGTCTCAACTGGATGCTATTGGACGCTTAATGGGGTTGAAGTCCGAGTTAAACTTGAGTCGACCTGGCTTCGATAAGATGTTGGCCGTGATTGGCACCCTGCTTCCGGAGGGCCACATTCTGCCAAGAGCATGTACGAGACACAGAAACTCCTTCGAGCACTTAAGATGCCGTATGAGCAGATACATGCTTGTCTGAAAGGGTGCGTCCTATTTAGGAAAGAACACAAGCATGCAAAGTTCTGTCCAAAGTGTAAATCCTCTAGGTACCTGGAGGTAGACTCTGATGATGGCTAGAAGAGGCAACTTACGATCCCCATGAAAATCCTACGGTACCTTCCGTTCCTACCGAGGATCCAACAGCTATACATGATCAAGGAATCCGCGAAACAGATGACATGGCACAAAAATAGCAAACGGTACAATCCTCTGACAAGATGGTACATCCATCCGATGGTGAAGCTTGGATCCGCTTTAATGACAAACATCGTGACAAAGCAGATGAGGCTCGTAATGTACGTGTCGCGTTGGCAACAGATGGGTTCAATCCTTATGGAATGATGGCTGCCCCATACACATGTTGGCCCATCTTCATTATCCCCCTTAATCTCCCCCCCCCCGGTGTCTCCTTTCAACGACATAACGTATTCTTGTCGTTGATAATTCATGGACACCCAGGGAGTAATATGGGTGTGTTCATGGAGCCCGTGTTTGATGAATTGGTCCGTGCTTGGGACGAAGGGGTATGGACATACGATCGAGCTACAAAGACAACCTTCAAAATGCACGTTTGGTACCACTACTCCCTGCATGACTTCCTGGCGTATGGGATATTCTGCGCCTGGTGTGTTCACAGGAAGTTCCCATGCCCAATATGCAAGGAAGGTGTGAGGTTTATTTGGTTGCAGAAGGGTGGCAAGTATTCGTCGTTCGACAGACATCGTCAATTCCTACCTCTTGGCCATCCATTCAGACAAGACATCAAGAACTTTATGAAAGGTGTCAAAGTGACAAACCCTGCACCGCGGATGATGACTGGTGTCGAGGTTCATGCTCAGATTGGTGCTCGCGTGCCCAATGAAGAAGGTGGTTTTGTGGGATATGGTGAGCAGCATATGTGGACTCACATCTTGGGCATGACGAGGCTCCCCTATTTCGATGACCTTCTTCTACCACATAACATTGATGTAATGCACACTGAAAAGAATGTCGCCGAGGCACTTTGGGCAACACACATGGACACTGAAAAGTCTAAGGACAACCCAAAGGCTAGAGTAGACCTGGCAACGTTGTGCGATAGACCAAATCAAGAGATGCAACCTCCTAGTCATGGCAAGACCTGGAGAAGGCCTAAGGCCGATTTTGTCTTGAAAAAGGACCAAAGGAGGGAAGTACTTGAATAGATCAAGAAGCTAATGTTCCTTGATGGGTATGCAGCGAATCTAAAGAGGGGAGTTAACTTAGGCTCTCTGTGAGTCAACGGGATGAAGAGTCATGACTACCACATATGGATTGAGCGGCTTCTTCCGACGATGGTTCGAGGCTATGT